GTTTATTTCCATGTGATTTCCATATTCCATCTTTTTTTCTCTTATCACTCAGGAACCGTGCGTTAATCTCAGCAACTACATGTATATTCTCTAGAAAACCTGAATACTTAACGGTTTCCCCTGAGCCATCCCTGCAAGGATGTAGTGAGCGATAATAGCTACCAGACCTTTCCTGTCTTGCCATGCAAATCAACCATTTTTTCAGAATGTTCATCACAAAATAAATAGTAAGATACACGTGTAGGCAAACTCAAGCAAAGGTACCTGAAATGCTAATGTCGGCAGCATGTTAAAGAGAAAACCTGCTGTCACTTCTCTAATAAATATTAACAGCAATTGCTTATGATGAGTAATGTGGTTTTTAAAAAATAAAAGTCTCAGAAAGGAAAAAGACCCCATTGAGGTCTTATAAGAACCTCTATGTTTAGGGGTACATATAATTTCTGTAATTGTACATATATGTGTAATATGTCTGTTAATCTGGTCGTGCTCTGACGTCCTTGATGGTAGAGTGTCTGGGAGGCTGGAGTCACCTGGATGACTTCTGCGATCACTGTTTTGCTATTGTGCACTTCAGTTTAGGAAGTAGGTAGGGTAGAGAATAATGAATACTCTTTCTTGACTCCGGTGCAACCCAAGAATTGTGCTTTCTACAGAATGCAGGTTTCCACAGTTACTCACGGGCATGAGCTACTCCTGAAACTTGAGGATGGATGTACTCCTGGGAGAAACACTTTCCACCTAGAAATTGGTTCCCTTTAAATTTTAGTCACAAACTGACCAAAATTTGATGGGCCAGGGTAGAAGACTCTAAGCATAGGTAAAAATATCTTCCTGATGTGTTGTTGCCTTCGCAATGGTGTTTCTGTTTTATAACACGACTTAATAAACAGTGGCATGGTGAGGGACTTAGAATACATCTGGTAGCCCTGTGTTTATGGCCAAACATCTGTCTGTCAACAATCAATCCTATTTTCTCCCAGCTTTCACTTTGCCTCCGGTATTTCTCTTTATCCTAAAGAACAGCTCCCTCCCACCATGGACACCCTCCCTCTTGTAGAAGGAGGGATCTTTTTCTTCTTTCCCGGCCTTCACGATGGTATGGATTTTATCTATGTATGTGCATGGATGTAAAAACCAGTGTTCCTTCTGGGGATGGTTTGATTGATGTATACACTGCAAACATCTTTAATAATTTAATGCCTACTTCAAAGGAGATTACACCAAAAAGCACATTGCTTTTCATTTATTCATTACAGATCTGTCATAGCAGCATTTTTTTGCCCTGAATTGTAGTGTCATAGTAATAATAAATTTTGTTCTACACTCAGGATATTTTAAAGGATTATAAGCCTTTTAACTAATGTCACTGTCTTATTTAAATTGATCAAATTGGTATTTCAGCACCATAATCTTGCATTTCTTAAAGCTGAGCTAACCAGATGTGGATTCATTTGATGACTACTGAAATAGCTGTGCTGGGAAAGTCTAATAGAAATAATGGGATGAAAGCATAATCCTGCTTGTTAGTAGTGGTGGTGGTAATAATAGTGAAGAGAACAGAGCCTGAATTGGGGGCTTGGTGTCTCCTTCCCCTTAAAAAGAGATTAGGGTGTTTACATTACATTTTACCTCTTTGCATTAAAAGGAGAAAAAAAGTTTGTGTTTGGGAATTGAGAATTGGAAGTAAAGAAAGGGGTAAGATGGGAAACACAAAACTAAAAACCAAAACAAAATCGTTTTACAACTTTTCCCCATTTAGACAGAAAGTAGTCACTCCTTGTAATTAACATTTTCCCAGAGAGTCAAGGAACATGTCCAAATTCCTAAATGATTACAGCAAATTTTCAGGTTTTTTTCTATTAATATTGAATATTTTATTAAGAAAATAGTATATAAATTTTCTTTAAATCAAAACCAACAGCTGCTCTGAATAAGAAAGTTTAGGCACAGGAAGGATTATAATAATTTTCGGAGAGTGATGTACAATTATCCAATTCTCAGAGATAATTTAAAAAGAAATCTCTTATCGGCCATTAGTGCAGTAGTATTGCTGGTTTTTTTAAATGTACTGTTTCAGGTACTTTGCCTAACAAACTGAACCGTTTTTCCCCCCTGGGTCCTACCACAAGTCTTTAGCAGAAATCTGGAGATGTTTTGTTCTCAGGTCAGTAATTCTTTAAGCAGTAGAAGTAATGTTGCCTACTGCAGATGTCATATTTTGACCATTGAAGGGACACTCGAGTGTGCTTGCAGTGGCGACTAGGGGCAGTAGCATCATCTGTGTGGTTTGTGTAAGGGAGATTAAATTCCAGAACTTCGGGGCAAGATTGCCCTGGGGTCAGATCTTAGCCCTACCTGCTCACCGGGGTGTGGTGCCTCGTAGGGCTGCTGTGAGGGTTACAGGGTGTGATGATGCCTAAGCACCGAGCATGACCTTTGCACAGGCAGGTGACGGGTGTGCTTCTTGTCCACTCACTTCGCCCACAAACACCACTCACACCAGGTTTCGGAAGTCTCGGTGGCCAGCTACGTGAGACCTGGCAGCAGGCTGCCACACCCCGCCTTGGGTGCCCCTTTCCTGCCACCTGCTCTCACTGCTTCTCTCCTCGCCCCCTGCCATAGCACGATCGTTTGTTTCTGCAGGGCTCCGAGCTCCTTGCTGTCACAGACCGTTGCGTTTGTCCAAATGCCCAGCACCTGGAGCACTGCTGAGCTCAAACCAGTGCTCTAGGCCCATTTGCTCAAGTTAAGGTCCACAAGAGCCCTCCAAATGCCTGTTAGGGTCCCATGGTGAATGTCCCCCTAAATCCCTCAGAGCCACCAGGAAGGGAACGTGCTGTCCCTGGGCCTTTTCCTGGCCTCCTCTGACATGGGAGAGCCACCCGCCGTGTTTCCCTGATTTTTCTCCCATTCCAGCTCTCCCCCTTCTGGAGTCCCCTTTCTGACTTAATGTCTCCTTGGGGAAGCCCCTGCAACTTCCTGGCGCTGGCTCCTTTTCTGCCGCCCAGAAGCCTTGCTCCTCAGTGATGTATAATCATCATGTTTGACCCGGACATTTCCTGAGTTCTGTTAATGACAGTGCCCACCCTTGTCTTCGCCAGACTCTCTCCTCTGCTCATCACTTCAAGTGTGTCTGCCTCAAGGCTTTGCCACATTTGCTCCTATAGAGAGGGTGGGACACTGTGTGGAGATGGGAACATATGTTTTCTATTCTGGAACTTGGAGGTTTTTCTCATCTTTATCCACTTAAATCTTATACATAAAACCCAGAAATCCTCAGCAAGCACAAGCCTCTTGCTTTCAGCGCCACCTTCCTCCCACCCCAGCTTCTGCATTGGGCCTTCCGCAGGGCCTCCCCTGGGCAGCGCTTGGGCATGGCTGGGCCCGCTCCCTACCGACACTGTTCCACGTTAAGCATCCGAATGAAAATTTGAAAGACTCTGCCTCACTGTACTATTAGTTAACCTGCATGATGACAAACACTATGTTTTCTGGACTATCTTAAAAACGATTTTCCCCTTCATTTTAAAAAGTGCATCTTTGATATCATGTAATCCAATTTGATACTTTATTTTTGACAGAATATAAGCATTCATAGTTCAGTTCTTTTCAAAATAATATCATGTGGAATTTTATCCTGAACTTTTAGCCAACTCTTTGTCATTTTCTTCCTTCTTTATTTCTGAAACTGAAAGCTTTTGTTAACTCATTATGTAAACTAAGACCATTAACCGTACCTTGCAAGTATCTGGGCAGTGAGAGAACGGACTTCCGGAGCTGGAAGGGAGGTCGGGGTTAATTGTGTCGCAGACCCTCATTTTACCAATGCCAGAGGATTAAGCAACTTGTCTAATGTCAGTCAGCTAGAAAGAGGCAGGTCTGAGGTCCTAGCATTCTATGTTTTTTCTACCTACCCTTTAAAAAAAAAAATCTATTATTTTATTGGGGCAATCAAGAAATATGATAGTTCCAGGAAATAATATAATATAACAAATTGGAAGGGATTTTAATTTAATTTAAATGTTTAGGATTTGTGATGTGCCAGGCACTGTATATTATTTCATTTGATCCCCATGGAAGTTTTATTGTATTTCCATTTTATAGGTGGGAATCTGAAACTCGTAGCACTTAGGTAAAGCCAGTAAGCGCCTGGCTGGGACTTGACCCTGAGTCTTTCTCTCTCCAAACTCTTGATTCTAGAATTCAGCCTCCTGCTCTCTTTTAAAGCAGACTTACATGTATCCCAATAACAGTGAACATGCCTGATTAGACTTTATAAAATAGTTGAGCATTTATTATTTTTACAAGAAGGGACTAGTAGTTTCTTGGTCTCATATCTGCATGACAATCAATGTTGGTATCTGGAGGCATGCTGTCAACTCTCGTAGGCATTGTGTAGAAAGCAGCCGCCATCTGGTGTTAGAAAACCTGGTGGGTTCACATCCTTTGCCTTCGCAAGGGCCTTCACCATCGGCCCTCCTTGTATTCAGAGATGTAAATGCACACCAGGCTCTGGTGGTGAGAATGATAGTCTCTCCACAGAGAATTCCTCTTACCTCCTCTGGCCCTCCTCGTGCAGGGCCAGACTCCGCACTATACATGGACCAAGGACCCTGCAGTGCAGTTTCCTCTCCGCCGTGGGGATTAAGAACATTGGTTCTGGAGTCACATGTTTAGAACTAATTCTGGCTCTTGCATTTGTAAACAGTGGAATCCTGGGATAGATATTTGATCTCTCTGTGCCTTAGTTTTCTGACCTGTGAAATAGGAATAATACCAACCTCAGAGGATTATCGTGAGGATGAAATGAGAAGATACTTGTAAAGGGTGGCCTTCAGTAGGCAGGCAGTAAAGGCCTACGCATTCTATACGGTAAAGCACTGTGCAAATGTAAGGAAGTTTTCCTTGATTGCAACGTAATAACTATTAATTATTGTGATGCGCAGAAAATATGTTCCACTTCTTACTGTTTTCCGTTATTCCTTTTGATCCATCAGAGGCCAGCAGAAATAGTAGATGAAGAAGAAGACGGGGAGAAGGAAAGCAAGGACGCAGAAAAGAAAGATGAGTTTTCAGGAGTGAATGGTGACCTTGAAGGAGGTGGGGTGGTTACGGCCACCTCCGAGAGAGCCAAGGGGACGCCGGGGCACCCAGAGGAGCAGGGAGGCCCCGCTCGTGTTCACGGAGGCCCCGATGGGGAAAACGGGGAGGAACTGGCCCAGGTCGGTAACGAGCTTCAGGAGGCGGTGGATGAAGAAATAGAGTCTGAAGGAGCTGGCAGCGAGCAAGAGGAGGTATTTCTATTGCTTTTGCTCACTTGTGTGCATGCTTGAGTGTGTGTGTGTGTGTGTGTGTGTACTCAAGGAATTATTCAAGCACTTAGGACTTGCATTGGAAGCACCTGTTGAGTAGGGAAAGATCCAGCACTATTTACTGGAGTATATTATTTCAATAAGTTAAGGACTGTCAACCACCTATCTGACAGTTGGTCCTTGTCATCCATTCATCCATCCATCCATTTCCTACCTTATTGTATAAATATTTATAGAGGCCCCTAGGAACACATACAACAAAAAAAGAGACATATAAGTAAGAAGTAAAAATGAGTTAAGACTAGGAACGGTACAAACCAAAAAATATCAAGAGCAGTAAGACATAGACATGATTTAAAGAACATCGCCTCTGTTATGGGCGACTTCTTTACTCTTAGAAGTATTAAGCTTTAGTTTGTTTAGATGGATTAATTGAATATTCCAGGCACTTTTAATGGTCTAGTTCTATTCATGATACAGCGAGAGTGAAGGAATATGTGTTAAAGCCTCCTTCCCAGCCTGTTTTCCTGCTGTGGCCCTGGAGCAGGATATTCTCAAGTCCTGTCATTCTTCCATAGATAGGTAAAGCCTGATAGGATAGATCCAGTTAGATGCTGATGAACAGGCTGAAGTTGAGGCTCATAGTATAAGAGGCCTGGGTACTCCACAGCATTCGCACCATCTGCTTGTGCCCTTCCTTCCCGTCTGTCCATCAGCTCAGGGCCACCTCCCTCAAGACTGTGAGCTCTGATGTGGGCTTTGGTCTCTTCATCCCTGACATCCCAGTATGATGAATGTGGTCGTCTTGATTATTTATTAGTGATTCATCTGTTTTATCTTTCTTAGGGAAATCAAGTTTAGTAATGGTAAAAATGCAAAATGTTTTTGTGGCCAGATTTCAGGAACCAGTACACAGTTATCTGTAATCCACTGTATGGCTCATGCAAAAACATTCTTAACATCTAAATGAAAATACTCAATGTGTCTCTCATCTTTCCTCAGCATGAGGTAATCATGGTCCTATTCTGTAAGAAATTTCCCATATGCAATTCTACATGGTTATCACAATTTAGCTAAAATTTCTATTCTGAAGTTGTTTGTAGCTAAATTAAAAAAAAAAAATTCAGTCAATTACATGACTGCCTTTATCTCCGTAAGGAAACAAAATTAATTTCTCAAGGAAGGCAAAAGAAAAAGTGTCTCTCAAGGGAAGCAAAATCTCTTGTCTGGGGACTCATATAGGAAGCACAGTAATGTAGACTGTGCTCAGAGCCATGAAGCTCTTTGTTATTACAGTGGCCTTTGATGAATATTTGCAGCATAAAATCAAAGTATAAATTCTGTACAGGACCTAGATAGTAAAATTCGAGTATGCATTTTTCCAGTTGTCTAGCTTCATTTAATGTTATAACCAAAATAGGTTTTTATGGAAGTAAATTGATTACCTGACCTTCCGTTCCATAAAGTTAACTTTTAAAAGTAGGCCTTTCATAGGAATTGGGTATCAGTCAAGGTCAAGTTTATATGATTTAAAGTACAAGTGTTAATAGTACGTACCGAGGGTATGTATTGGGAACCAAATGAACAAGTGCCTGATACGTGACTGGTTAGGGATTTTAAGAACTATACAAATGCCTAAGACAGAGCAGTTACCCACAAGAGATTCAACCTTATTTGACTCATCTCTCTTATAATGATAATATATTTTATTTTATTCATATTAGTATAGGTACACTTTAAGCATACCAGTTATATGAAAAACCAGATTTATATGAATTATAAATTATACATTAATAATTAACTTTTTCAAAAGGATTTTTTACTTATAAAATGACTAAAAATTCAGTTCACCGTGTAATATTTTGTTCCACGTAGCAGTTCTTAGGCAAAGTGTGGTATGATTATAGGAAACAGCAGGAAGTATGTGACAGATACACAATAACCAGGTGACATTTCTTGAGCTTGTACTGTGTTCAGGAGGCTATGTGAGACACTTCATGAAATAACATTGTGAAATAAAAGATAGTTCCAGTAATATTTTTTTTTTCTTTCTTAGAGCATAAATCATGGAGCTAGTCATGTTCTCCCCACACTGGTTGCCATTGTGGGGGCTCTGGAACCGCCAGGAGTCCATGCAGCAGAGTCTGAGAACCACCTCATGCTAACCTCGCCCCCTTGGTTTTCAGTTTAGTGGGGAAGACAGATTGTAAATGAGTCGGTATCTATCGTTAATAGCATAGGGGACGTCCAAGGGGCAGGGGCAGAGGCTGCTGCTGGAGAAAGGCTGCCTCTGTGTTTTCATTTCCTGCCCCGCTCTAATCTACTTGATACTTTATGCCACTCGGTACAATCTTCACAAAGAATTTGTGAATTCTAGTAGAAAACGAACAGAAGAACAGCTAGCATGGGACTCAGTGTGACATGAGGGTAGAATTGCTACATGTTTCTCTCCCCTTTCCTCTGAAAATGCTAAAACGAAAAGTATAAATATGCTGTTGAAAAGCACAAAGGGAAATAAAACAAAACATCAAGAAAAATCAAGCCTGCAACGCTAGAGATAAGCCTGCGCCCTCACAGCACGGGGTGGACCGTGGTCCCAGAAAGGGCTTCTGTACAAGGAGCGTTGAGACTGCTGTGTCCCCTGGGTGATGATAGACCGAAAAACAAAGGAACCCAAGGAACTGTTCTTAGTTGAATATTTACTTATATGGTTAAATGCAATATTGAGGAATTTTTTTCCTTATAAGTTTTAGTACCTTTGTAACTAAAGAGCTAAATATCTTGTTTCGATCTGTTTTCCTCCAGGCTGACTTAGACCCTCTAAGACCGCCAAGGCCAGAAGTGAAAATCACTAGTCCACAGGAAAACGAAGACAACGAACAAAGCAAGGACCCTGCTGTCGTAGCATAAATGATTTTTAAAGAGAGAGTATAGTGATTGTAAGAAAAATGAAGGGTTGTAATACTTGAATAATACGTATACAGTTGTTGCTAAACATAATGTGACAGTACAGTTGAAAACTACCTACTGAATTTTTAAAATTAGAGACCTAATGGAAAGACCAGATAACTTTGAGTAGCTACTGAAGGAGAGGACTTCTTCTTATGGGATGTTTCTAGAAGTCATTTAGAAAAATCAGAGGGATAGAGGAGAATGAGAACTGGAAGACAGTTGGGCACTTATTTTTGTAAAGAATGAAAAAGAATGGAATTACCCCTGTTGTATACTTTCTTATAAATTTAGAAGCAAGATTAATAGATGGCAGCTTATGCTAAAGCACTTATCTAAGAAGGCATAGAATTTTAAGTGATAATAGGAAAGCATGCACTATTTTCTTACAGCAGTAAACTCCTGAATAAACAAATTATAGTTTAGTTTCAGAGATAATTTAGAGATGGTCATAGACTGAAATGTTTTCATAACTTGTTGGTGGTCCATTCTTTCTTCCTCCTTAGCCAAAGCCCACCTTTAAAAGAATTAAAAAGAAGGCAAGATGCTCATTTTGGAAGGAGGAAGTATTCATTCAGTGTATTAGTGATTAATATTGTCATGTTCCTCCCTTTAAGTGCTCCAGGCTTTAATCCTTCTGGCTTCTGTGACACACTCAGGAAAGAATTTTAAAGGAAATCCAATTATATTACTGAGCTTGGCTGGATGGTTTGCAAATTCTGGTATCCTATAGATTTTCACTGTCCCAGTCTATCTTTACCAATAATATACCTCTCTTCCTCATGTTAGGAAACTCAATATTGGCTGCTCCAAAGATTGAATTTTCTACCGTTGTTTTGTTTTGTTTTGTTTTTACAAAAGGGAAATGTAGGCTTATCAAGAGTTTGTCACTGCTCAGTTCCACTTGCTTTTTGCTTTATTTCTATTAGGACTGCCTTGTCATATTTGGTCCCTAAGGATATCAGAAATATTTAATTTTCAAGCTAGTTATATTTAGACTTTCTAGCAGATTCCTTTTTATATAATTAGAGTTTATCTGATAGAAATTGTTGGGAAAAAAGTTTTAAACTTGTCATAATGAAACCAGTTCCCAATTACTAGTTTGTGGGCTGATTAAATTACTCACAATTGCCTTGTTAGATATATATGGGGAAAAGCATAACTGTATTAGTTTTTTAAATTCTCAAGAGATGATGCCGTTCTTCCTTCAATATAGAATTAATATATTTTTCTAATATTAAATAATATTTTTGTTATGCAGAAATTATAAATTTGAAATTTAAACACCTAGGGCTTTCATCGAATTCATTATTAATCATAAATTTAAAATATTTTTCCCTCCAGATTTTTAACCAACCATTTAGAATCAGAGTAGTTCTATAAAGTACTGAATAATGCTATAGAAAACAGATGTATTTTTTCTAGCAGCTATTTTCATACTTTCCACAAATAGGAAGTATAAGCAGAGACCGCATTGTAACAGTATTGGAAAGAGATAATTATATAAGAGCATATTAATCCGGGAGAATGAATTACATAAACGGGGTGCTGTATTCGTGGTTTAAAATCTAGATTGTGCTGTCACTAGTAGCTGTATTTTTCAAATGGGACAATCAAAGCACCACAGACTACAAGCAACAATCTTGTGTTGCTGGGGAAATAGACTAGCTGGTTTTGTAATGTTAAATTCCCGTACTAATACTGGGCCTGAGGTTAATGATTTTAAATCGTTTGTAAAAATAAGGGATTAAAAAATAAGAAATTATAACTCATCCTCAAGATGATTCTTTCTCTTTCTTCAGTGAGTTTCTCTCTCTCTTTCCCTTCTTTAATAAGGATATTCTGTCTCTTTCTGCTCCTTTTTTTCCATCTATAAAGCTTCGATTTTTCAGGAACTTTTTAGAATCATCTTAATGGAAAACAATGTTATTTTACATGAAAAGCAAAGTTTGGTATTTTAAGTATATTTCAAGAAGATGATAGGCCACAATAACTGTAGCAAAAATTGAGAAGTGGAGATGTGGTACTTCCCTTGTGTATGTGTATTTTACCACTTGTTGACAGGATGCAGTTGTGATCTAACTTGAGGGGATGAGCCACAACTAATCACTTAAAAAAAAAAGAATGAAATATGCTATCTAACCAAGGGAAAAACTCATTCACAGGGAATGAAAATTGAGGACATCATTTTGGAGATGACTTTAACCTAAATAATGAAAGTTAATTCGCCTCCCAAATGTGGCCATTTCCTTCTTGGGACTGGCGGCCACAGTGGCATCGGAGTAGCTCCACACACTGAGCCTCGCTGACAGATTTGGGACCCTTGTGTGCCGGAGCAGTAGACGTCTGGGTTGGGCTTCGGGTCTGGTTTCAGTGAGAAGGTGCTATGAAAACTCATGTAGCTTTTGTATGATAACCAATAGAATGCTTTAAGATGGTAGCTTTTTTTATGATAGATTTCATAGTTTTAATTTTACGGAACTCTTATTAATCTCAGTTTGGTTTTATGACATTTGGAAACAAGTGGTTTGTTAGTTGAATTGGAACATTAGGAGTTTTGCAGATTGAATAAAGGAGATGTTAGCTCAAGTTTTCCTACTAAGGACGTTTTACCTGTTTTAGCATCTGTTAAAATAACTATTGAGAGTTCATGGATTTCCAGTTATTAAACATGATTCTATGACCATAAGGTAACTTTTTACTCATTTTTTCCTGGGGCCATGGGATGACTATTTATTAAAACAGTTTTTGGGGAATATTCGAATGCCAGACTCCTGGAAAGATGATGATAGTCCATGCATTCTGTTTTATTCTGAGCATCGGTGCCTGCTGTCATCTCTAAAGAGAACTAGCCTATGTATATGTTTGTGGCTCGGAGTCAGCCAGCTCTCTCTGTGGGCTCATGCTTGTGAAGCCATACTGATAGGAAATTATCCATATTAACTTTTATAACTTATAGCGCATAAACCAACATCCTCAAAATGTTCACTAAGTAACCTTCTCCACAAAAGACAAAGTTACTTCTGCTAGGAAACATTTGTGCTTTAAAACTGTGGCTGCAGAACAACAGGAGGGTGGGTGTCTTACAGAATTAGCTCTATAACTTCCACATTATTTTGCTCAGTACGTAGCAAAAACAAAATTTCAGGAAGTAAAGTAGATTAGTTGCTAAACAGAAAGCATCACATCTGAACTGGTGCCAATCTGAGTAGAAATAGACTATATAGATATACACATATACATAGCAAACGCTTATACAGATGCACTCACACACTTTAAAATATTGAAAAGGCCTCCTCAGGCTCAGCATTATTAATGGAACAGGCTCTTTTGAGAGAAGCAATGCATAGAAACACGTGGAGAGGAAAGGCTAAGAAATGATGTATATCATGGTGCTTTAAGACTTGGTTCCCAAAGACTTTAAGAGGTTTAAAATTCTCAAAATAAGAAAGGTACCAGAATTTTAATGAAACATTTATTCTGGGAGGGGTGAGTATATATAATCTTGCTTCCTGAAATAACTACAGCACCTAGTTCTTTAGTTCTGTGTCAGTCAGTCTTAAGTACCATATACTTTAGGTGCAGAGTATTTCATACCAACACAGGCTCTGTCAGAAGGTTATTACCACTTGTTAATGTTGTTTGTGTGATTTACATGAATGTATAGAGAACTCTTTTTGGTAACAAGCAGCCAGGTTCACTGAAAATAGAATACAGCTAGTCCACTGACTCTCTAATGTTGAAGTTCAGTGCAGAAGCTCTGTAGCTTCCTCGTGTGAATGTGATGTCCTAGAATGGACCCATTTTTTAAAAAGGCTAGCCTGTCATTCTAATGTGATGAGCACATACAGTTCTTGTGACTCAATATCATTTTTGGGGGTAAATACTATAAGATTTTTGCTTTTCAGAAAACATCCTGGTATAGAGATGGGTCTGATTTTTTGTTCTTACATGAAGTTTGTGTGTCTCCTACCATGAAGTCTGCGTGACTTGGATGGAGAATGAAAGTGTGTCCCCACAAGTTGATAAGGAAGAAAAATATTGTTTATGAAGAGGCGTAACATCCTGTAGGGTATGGGAATCAGGAAAGACTTTTAAGATGTCTGGATAACCATAAAGCATCGATCAAATCAGGAGGTAGCTGATGGAGCCAGCTCCATTGACTTAAGCCAACAACAGTTTAGCTTACATCCATGAATGGTACCAGAGGAATTCTGTGTAGTTTCATCAGCTTACACCACACACTATAATTGAGTGTTTGGGTTGTGTCACACATGGAATGGCATATGAGAAGAGGGGATGACTGTAGTCAGTTGTAGAAGAAGCTTGGAGAAAATCTATTGTGTTTTTGCTTCAATGTTTCTCTTGTGCTTTAAATCTTTAATATGTACAATGATAATGGGCGATTATCAATGTTGTAAGTAAACATTAAGTTGAGCTCATCGTTTTTAGATGATTTATATTTAGAACTTCTCTTTGTAAGGAAAATTATCTGTTTTGATCAAATTTTGAGCATTTGGGTTTTTTCTTCTGTATCAGTGCTCATTCTAAACCATAAAAGTTCACTGTGTGTTATAAGTAAATAGATCTGTGTGTTTTTATAATTAAAATGTGTCTGGATGGTTTACTGTTTGTTTATGATTTGTGCTGCTAATAGTTCATGTATTAATTCTTTGCATGACTTTTTTCACAAATGCAATAGAAACTTTTTGATTTAAACCATGTAGAAATTTAGCACATTAAAAGATTCTTCTGTTCCTACTTGGCATGGATATTAAACTTCATTATATAAAGAAAAAAATTTATATCTTCATATACATGTTTGGTTGGCAAAAATTTTAGGTATATTTTTAAAAAATCATTGCTTTTTCTTTTATGAAATGGCATTGGAGAAACACAGGTCCAGAAATTTTGTTATGATATATCTTTAAAAACAAAAAATAAATTACATCACACATTCT